CTATCCCTTCTTCCATGCTCTCTCTCTTCCCCCGTCCCCCGAACCACAGGTGAGACTGTCTACTATCTGCAGATTACATCCCCTTCCATGCCCCCCTCTCTCCCCCAGGACTGCAGGTGTGACGATCCACAGGTTACATCCCATCTCCTCTCCCCCCCCCCCCCCTTTTTTTTTTCCAGGTTTCCCCTCCCACCTCCCCAGCGATCACAGTTGAGACTATCCACAAACATAGCTGCCAACTTGTATGTAGAAAACGGTTATCGAGGGTCAGAGTATAGAAGTATGTTTTGTGTTTGAAAATACATATTCTCTGTTGTCTAGGATTGCTCCTCATGGACTCTCTGGTGGAAACTTTGAAGACCAGGTTTGAGAATGATAATGAAATTGAAGCCCGTAAGTCAGTTGGAGAGATATTTTGCTGCAGGTCTTTCTACTTTGAATAGCTTGAATTTATTGAATGTAGATAAGTTTGTGTGAAGAATTGGGAGAGAGGGATGGGGTGGGGTGGGATGACTTACCCAGTTCCCCTCCATCTCCTCCCACCCCCCGTATCAGTAGTCATGGTATTTGGGTTTTGAAAAGTTAACAGCTTTGCACAGATTACATACACACTGTCCCATCACCCGTGCCCCATCTACCATCCCCCACCTCTATGTATGGCTGATGCTTTCCACCCACACGGTTTTGTTTTTTCACAATCTCTCCTCAAATTGAAATATGGAATGCTCCATACATGTTATGTGAATGTCACATATAATGACCTAGTTTTCATGAGTGCTGTAAGCAGTGTTCTGGTGATTTTTTTGGTTTTTAAATCTCGCTTTCTGAAATGTACTTCTTTTTCTGTCGGATATTTATTTCCCGTCTTGCTCCCAACCTTTTGTGCCAGGTCTACATGTCTTTCATATACAGTCCTGTAAGCCTGGGACAGTTGTTCTTTCTTCTATTTGTTTGTTATGTCCAGATGGTGTCTGCATTTCTCCACAACACCAAGGCTCTTCATATTTTTCCTTAGTTATTAAACCTTATTGCGATCAACTTCGGTTGTAAGGTAAGATGGGGGGGGGAAATTCCACACTATACATTTTCAGTTCTATTGTGGGACAAGTTTTATAAAAGCTGCTTTTTGTGTATAAAGAGGACAACAGATTCACTTTGGGTCGGGCAAGTTAACAAGCAAAAAATATATGAATTTGATGACATTACCATTTTTGTCCCCGTTTTTATCATTTCACATTGTCTCCTTTATTAAGAATTTACCCATTCAGGACAAATCCACGACCACGTTAGCAGTCATGCCAAAATGAAATACTAAGAAAAGCAGGACATACTAGAAATTAAAGCTGAATTGAAAAATAAAACAAGACAAGACAGAAACAAATGATTCGAGCTGAGTGTCAATTGGGTTTCTGTTGGCTCTAGGGGTTGTTAGTGAGGTGTGGAATTCCGCCACCTGCCTCGCTAGTGGGTGGTCGTCTTGGACAGGTTTGACTGTGTTCTTATTCAGTGTCATCTTGTATCGAGATCCTGCAAGCCATGATTGATTGATTGTGCTACTCACATGAAAGGTTCTGTGTACTGTTTGAAGAGCCTTGTTGTTCAACACCTCCTTCTCCCTTCCTGCTCCGGTCGTGTTCCCCTCGCTACCTGAGTTTGCTCATAGCCCACTTCTCCTTCCCTGTTTTGTCCATATTTTTACATTATAACAATCCCTTTTGTGTATAATTTGTTGCTCTACACCATTTTTCTTTTTGCCTGAACAAGTCCCCAAAGTTCCTTTGTTGGTCAAGTGTTTTTTATATTCATTTTTTTTTTTTGGGGGGGTGGGGGAGTTTTGTATGTGTGTGTGTATGGAAGAAAGTGAATTAGATGTAGTTATGGATGAATGTCTGGAGACATGTGTTGTTTTGAAAAAAATCTGCCTCACATATTTAATATGAGTAGTTCTTTGTATTAAATTTTTCCTTCAGTGTCTGCCTGCGACTGTTTACTTACTTCTATTTTCGATGATCAAGCCAAGGGGTTGACAGGTCTTCAGGAGGGTAGTCTGTGAGAGATATCTTTGACTAATGGTTGCTGGCTTCTTTTCTGCTGTTTGGGTGGTTGGAAGGCACACCCTTGGTAAATTGTGCGTCTTTTCTTTTCCTATGAGGATTCTGTCAGTCTTACTTTTTTCCCCTAACTTGAAATGAAATGGCCGTTATTGTTGTGTGGATGTTCCTTCTCTTTACATAAGCGGAAAACTTTTTGCTGCCCTCCTTAGTTTTTTTTTCCTTTCTCCTGTGTTGTGATTGTCCAATGAGAAACAAGACAGTGAGGTAGTGAGGCCGTGTTTTTTTTGTACCACAACTGGCCTCACCCGATGAAACTCTCCTCAATGTGGTTGTTCCCGTGAGTGACCTCTGGATGTTTGTCTTGTCCTCCCCTGCCAGGTACAAGCCTCCCAGGTGCCCCAGGGCTCCCCCTCCGCCACACCCACCAGCACCCCGATCACCTCCGCACCCCTCACGTCAGCAGCACTGTTAGCCTCCTCCTCCGCCCCCTCCTCCTCATCATCATCTGTCGCCGGGGTCACCACCAATGCCGCCCTGCCCGCGTCCACCACCCCGACCCCCTCAGCATCTCAGTCATCGTCATCATCATCATCATCCTCGTCATCATCGACAACAACAACAACAACAACAGCAGCTTCATC